AGAAAGAAAGAAAGAAAGAAAGAAAGAAAGAAAGAAAGAAAGAAAGACGGAGGAGGGGGATACGGCTTTTTTGCTTTCCCCTCCCCAACTGAAAAGCGTCTTCCGCCAAAGGACCGGGTGCAGCCGGGGAATCCCCTCCGGCCCGGCCGCTTTCACCGTCCCCAAATTCCCGTCTTAGTAATTGCTTTTTAGGTACCCCAGCGGGGAGTGAGAGGAGGGCGCTGTGGCCTCCGGTTTCTCGGCCTCTCTCCCCGCCCGGCCCGAAAATATGAGGGCAGCCCTTGCGGAACACGCCTGAAGGGAGGGACCCCCGAGGCTCCTCCCGCGCCGCTCCAAGTGCCTTCTAGGCGCACGCCCGCCGGAGCGGGAGATGGATAGGACTGAGCTGGATGGCAGCAGCAGCACAGAAGCTCCCCAGCAATGCTGCCGGGAGGCTGAGCGGGCTGTCGGTGAAGTGGCGGGAGCGGCTATGGAGGAGTCCGCAGCGGAGACTCCTTCTTCAGGGGACTCGGTTGCTTCGACCCCCAAGGCCGTCAGCCCTGTCAGCGCTCCCCAACAGGAACTGAAGCAGCAGCAGCAGCAGCAGCAGCAAGGGGTCAAGAGGCACCACCATAAGCACAACCTGAAACATCGCTACGAGTTGCAAGAAACACTGGGCAAGGGTACCTATGGCAAAGTCAAGAGGGCCATCGAGAGGTTCTCAGGCAGAGTGGTAAGGGCTGAAAGGACTGGTCCGGGAGGGGATGCTGGACTAAACTGCAGGGAGAGAGCTGGTGGCATTATCGAAGCATCTAAGCAGGGCACTTCTTGAGTAGACCCTTTATGCATGGCAGCCTTCTCTAAGGTGATGATGTTCAGGGGAAATTTTGGGACAACTATTTTGCTTTGTAGGCTGCTTCAACATCTTAAAAAAAAAGAACATGAACTCACATAATTCTCAGCCATTAACTACAACATCTGAGAGTCATGGGAGTTGTAATTCTAACATACCTGGGAGGGTACCAGCTCGGGAGAAGACTTATGTTGTAATATACCTAAATTTTCGAAGCTTGATGGTGGCTGCTTTTGCTTTTGCTTTTGCTTTCTTTATCTCGAACTGTAACCTTCTTTTAGCCTCTAGGGAGGTCTTTTTATGTTCTTGCCTCCTCCTCCTCTCTTTTTGAGATCCAAAAATCCACTGGAGGAGTCTTTATGAGTTCTCCAGAAGTGTTTCATCATGGAATTTTATTTTGAGCCTTTCTCTCCAGATGTCAACTGAGCCTTATTTATAGAAATCAGAGGTAGTTCCTTGAATAAAGAGAACTGAATCATTTGTAAATTGGCATTATTTGTCTCTAAGCTTCCAGCAATCAGACATTGCTCTGTTGTTCAAAGTGTGGACATAACATCCATTGAAATGCATAGCTAGTTTTCTAACGAGAAATGGCTTTGGACTTTATTAACCTCTAGAACAAACACATTGATGCAATTGCTCCTATCAAAGCGAAGTTTAGAGTCCACTTTATTTTGCAGACTAATGTTGTGGTGTACTGTAACTATCCTCGGACCAACTTAGTGGTCCTTGGTGCTTTTTGTCACCTGAATAGGTGCCTGAATATCATAAAAATTCAGGCACGTGTATCAAGTTTTCATGTAATAGGCTAAAAGTACGGCTATTTTCCTTTGATGCTGTCTGGCTACATCTGATGGTTCTGCATTTAAATTGGGTATGCGTGTGCTTTCTGCAAAATCATGCAATTGTTTGATCAAGTACTTTTCAGTAGATTTGGTACAGGCTCCACATTTTGTTTGTATTTTCAATTTTTCCTGTTGCTTGCTCAGTCAACAAGAGACTCAAGTAAACAACTAAGCAAACAACAGAGTAGTAAAAAGCACCTTAGCTACATGTGGTGTGATTGTGTATGCAAGAGCCTTCTCTATTAAAGAACATTTAAGCTTTTCCATGGTGTGATTTATGGCTAAAAACACTAAATCCTAGCACAGTGGTAAAAATAAAAAAATATCCCAGTGCATGAAAAGAATCGTTAAACACCTGGTTCAGATAAGTCTTAATGTTGTATTATGCTCTCTGTCATTTTACTAAATCATTAAGATAGTTAATCAAAAGCAGAAGTGAGTGCTCATGTTCTTTTTGGCTGCCTGTTTTTTCTTTGAAAAGGAACATTGCCTGCAGTGTATCATGTTACAGGGGTTTAAAATTAGCAAAAACATCTAGCTCCAAAAATGTCCAAGCTGAAGAGTATCATTTCCAGATTGTATTAGTCTGCTCTTTTCAATAACTTCATGTTTATTCATTTTATGACAACATGGATAGTTTTTTAGGTTTGCTTTGCTAGAGCAATGCAACATTTGCAGTTAAAGAGACAAACAGAGGAAAATGGAGTGAAATCATCAAAATGCAGTAGAAGTGTTATTTATTATATATTTACTTGTTTATGGATTCTTGGGTTTTAATTCGAAATGTGTTTCATGCCACATGAAAATGTTTAGTTGTGTTAAAAATGGCAATGTACTTTACTGAAAAACAAACATCTCTGTCTGCTTATATGTGTAATATACCCTCTTCACACATAAGAATGTTATGAAAAGTATTTGGCCCAGAACTTAAACTGGGAATTCATGTAGCCTTCTCTTTCGTATCTGTGCTATCTTTCTTTTTCCTTAGTCATAACTTATGGAATCATTAAAGGGCTTTGATTGGAGCTAATGTGTACTGTAACCAGCAGAGGGGGTCCTTGGTATAATATGACCAGCATAATTCCCATCATGACCTCATGTAGAGAAAAAGCTTAGGACTGCATTAGAAATCTCAAGGTCATGTTCTCACCTATGTCATTTGTTTGCTGTCATATTAGTAGGTGAGGTAGCATTTTCCTACACAGTAGTATGTAAATATTTGGAAACATAGGGCAACGTCTAAAAATATCCTTGGTAGCTTACTCTCCCCAGGTTACCTAAACAAAAACATTTCCATTAAAATTTTATTACTTGTAATTTTGGTTTGAAGCATACAGCTGTGGACTTTAGAAAAACCAGACACCACTAATTAGAATGTCAGGTACTGGCTTTTCCTTTGGCTTCTGGGAGAAATCCTATGAAATTTGCAGGAAAATCTCTAAACATCCCCAAATGGGAGAAAAAATTCAAATTTGCATCAAAAAAGACTATGTACTAAAAATGATCATCTACATACACTCTTTTCTTTTGCTTTCCTACACACCTCTACAAGCTAGATATTGGCATCTAGGAATTTGATTGTTTTTTACTCTGGAAAATGCTTATAAAGTTTGACATTTGTTTTGAGAAATGTATAATACTTTCTCAGCCCTAGCTTATATGATGGCTGTTGAGCTGTGAATTGTATTATAGATACAATTAGATAGATTTGTATTATAGATACAAATAGATATATTTAGTTTGTTGTTAGCAGCAACTTGTTATTTACTCTTGTTTACTTAATAAAGTAGTGGAGATTAGGTTGCATGCTGAATGAAATGAAATGCAGGAATACAGCCTACTTATACTGAGGCAGCTTACCTGCCAAACATTCACTGGGATTCTGAAATTCAAGTATGATTTATATAAACATGTAATAGTAGTAATCTGTACAGTAGGTAGGCTGGCATTTAAGCATTGGTTGTGTGCTATGGATTACATAGAATTATATGCAAGGAAGAAACAGTCTTTGATATTGGTTATAGAATCAAATCTGGCCACCTAATTTCTCATTCTCTTTCATTTATTCTACCTAGTCATGCCAGATGTTGAAGTGCTTCTTTGCTCCTATCTTCCCAGTGAAGATAGCTAATTGTTTCTGAGTAAACCAGATTTACGATTAATTTTAAAATACATTGTGCCTTGCTGCAATTCTATCTGTTCTTAAACAGACAAATTCATTTTTCTGTGGGCACATTTTCAAGGCTGCTATACTGAAAAAAGTGGTCATTATGTTAATTCACTCAGGTACAGCTCAACAGAATTTTATGCTTCATGCAAAATAAGAGGACGAAAATGGGGTATGTTTACCGCCTTCAGTTATTTGTAAAAATATTAAAGGTGGAATACAAATAAATAAATAAATAAATATACATTTATTCACTTTAAATTGCAATTCAGCTAGTCCTTGCATGGTGAGCACAATTGAGACCAGCAGCTTGGTCATTAAACAAAGCAGTTGCTAAACGAATTTGTGATTATGCTCATGATTTAGCTTTCCTCTATTTTACAGACCTGCAAAGGTTGTAAATGCAAGAATTGATTGCAAAATTATTTTTATCACCATTTTATCTATTCAAACAGTCTTTAAATAAGGCAGTCATTAAACAAAGTCTATCTCTACTAGCAATCTGTGGGTTAATTCTGGAAGAAATGTCTCCTAGAGATCATCAACAGAGTAGAATAGTTTGATTCCTTTACTCCTATAAAAACTCTAAGCAGTATCTACATCTACATCTACTCTATTCCTATCCCTCTCCCTCTATCCCACTACCTACCTACTTATCTACCACCTGTTTCCCGGAAAATAAGACCTATCCCAAAAATAAGCTCTAGCATGTTTTTTAATGTGTGCGCCTAATATAAGCCCTACTCCCAGAATAAGCACTACTTAAGAGCCGTACACCTGCCCATTCCATCTGGTTGCTCACGATGCCATGGCTGTGAAGTGGATGAGTGGTGGAGCTGCCTCACATGCCCCACACTGACTTACCTCAGAGGCCCCGCAGCCAGGCCATCCATGCCCCATCATCTGCTTCATGGCAGCAGCACCAGAAGCTATGTACAGCAGGAGCCCACATGGCCGCTGTCCCACTTCTTTTCCTCACTCGCGTCCATAACAGAGCAGGGAGCAAAGCAGTATGTTGATGCCACTTCTGTGAGCTGAGGCAGGTGTCGAGGCATGGATGGCCTGGCTCGGCACCCTGAAGTAAGCCAGTGTGGGGCAGCTCCACCCCCCACCTCATGGTGGCATTACTGGCATGCTGCATGGCCTTCTGCCCTGCTGTGAGCAAGCAGAAGAAGGGGGCCTCCCATATATGTGGGGGGGGAAAACAAGATACCCCCTGAAAATAAGCCCTAATGCTTATTTTGGGACCCAAAAGAAAATAAGACCCGGTCTTATTTTCAAGGAACCACTAGTACACACACACACACACACACACACACACACACACACACACACACACACACAATCAAAAGCTGAGCAGGTAGAATTGGAAGGGAGACTATTAGAAAATCTCGGAGCTTTGTACTTAAAAGTTTAAAAAGCATCTCATAAGAGGGCCTTGGCAAATCACTCCTGCACTGTTGCCAGGAAACTACATGGACATATCTATAAAGTTACCTGGAGTTGAACTCAACTTGAAGTATACTTTATTATTTAAATCCCTGAATAAGTATAAAGAGTATTCAAGGAAGAAAATGCCCAAACTAACTCTGTCTTCTCTCTCTCCCTCCCCCCAACCTCTCTCCCTCTCACACACACACACTTGAAAATTGTTCAGTTATTGTGGTGGCAATGGTTTCTCTTGCTTTTCTCCCATTTTCTAAGAATTCTGTACAACAGATTGTCAGTATAATATTTATTTTTTTCCTGATACTACTTAGTATTGCATTTTACTTTCTATTCCATATGAAAACTATTTTCCTTATACAACATTTTTGTTCCTTTATTCTCACTTCCATCCATTACCCTGAGAATTTATTTGTAATAAA